GGTGTTTAGCGCGGCTGCCAGCTCGTAGGTCCTTAGGGCCCACCAGCTCCTCCCGCAGGAGAAAATGGAGGTGATACAGCCTCTGGGACCCTGGCACAGCTCTGCCCAGCCCTGCAGGGGTGCTGGGGGTGTGAATTGCCTTGATGGCGACTGGTTTGGCTGCTTTTAAAATTTTTGTTTTCTCGTTTTTATGGTACACATGCATGTGCTCATTTATACACACACACACACACACACACACACACACACACACCATCCACCACCCATCCACCCTTCACTGGCTCTTCTTCCTGAGGGGGTCTGCTAGGGAGAAGGGGGCTGGAGGAGGGCTGGGAGCCTGAAGGGAGAGACAGATGTCCAGCCCCACTCCTGAACCAGTTCTCAAGGATGTCCTTAAACTTAGAAAGTCACGATTCCGACTCAGAGCAGCCCTGTAGGACAGAGTAGCACTGCCCCTCTGGCTTTCCAAGACTGTGACTCTTTACCTGGGCAGCCTGCCTCATTTCCCTACCAGGCTCGAACCACTGCCCTTGTGGTGGGTTAGGAGCTCCATGCACGCCCTGCCACGCTTCCAGGTCTCCTTCCAAACCCTGCCGTCAGTCTGTTGCGATTCACTGTAACCCTGTAGGACAAGGTAGAACTGCCTCTGTGGGTTCACAGACTGCAACTCTTTACAGGAGTATAAAGCCTCGTCTTCCATGGATCTGCTGGTAGTTTTGAACTGCTAACTGTGCAGTAGCAGCCATAGACGCAACCATTACACCCCCAGGGTCCCTTAGGGGACCCTATGAGACCCACCGCAGCAAAGCCCACAGTTGGGGCCTTAATAGGCCCCGCCCCCAGGAGGAGGGCACTTCACAGGCCCCCAGCAGGGGGAGCACCTTAGCCGCCTGTGGGACTGCATGGGTCAGCAGTGTGAGGCTGAGGCCCAGGTCTGGTTACTTGGATCCGTCTTGGGGCTCCAGGAGGGCTTGGCCTCTGACCAGCCCTTCTCTGCGCAGCTCCCCTCCAAGGCCCTGCCCGAGATGGAGGACGAGGACGAAGAGGATGACTCAGAGGACGCCATCAACGAGTTTGACTTCCTGGGCTCCGGGGAGGAAGGGGAAGGGTCCCCAGACCCCCGGCGTTGTACCGGAGACGGGAACCACCACGAACTGGGTGAGTCTGGAGTCTGTCTTCTGTGCGGGGG